TGAGGGTAGCATCTGGTATATTTAGCTTTTGGAACTTAAACATTTGGATAATATTATTGTTATGTCTCTCTTTGAATATGACAAAATAGGCATTTACTAATGTCAATTTTGTATAGATTTTTTTTAATTAATTGATGTCATATTTGGTTTGATTAATTATGCTCTAATTCAAAATGGTTTTGTCAACAAATAGTTAGTGTTTTAGTAACTAAAAAATAGTGAGATGCAAAAAAAAAAAAAAAGTACTTATTTTTCCTACATTTAGGTAAATGCTATTAACAAAAAATGTAGGCAAAAACATCAATTATTGGGGACTATTAATATGGACATCACTTGTATTTTCTAAGTGATTTCCTTGTGTTTTCAGTAGATACAAGCGAAAAGATATTTATACTAACATTTGCATAAAATGCAAGAATTGGATTTACTGATGCCAATAATGCTAGTACTTGTGTGGCACTTTTGCAAATGCCAATAACTTTTTCACTTATATTTAAAAATGCAGATAAAAACTTTAACAAACATAAGTAATAGGCCTTTATCTTGGAGTGTAAATTAATAAACTCATAATTGACAATAATTATAATTATTTAATTAAGTTTTACTATTTATAAACTTATCTTTAAATAAATTTTGAGTTAGAATTGGCTTTTCACTTATTTATTTAAACTTAAAAAGTTGTTTGAAACAACACAATTGGGGTTTGTAGACATTATAAAACCACCAATACAACCATAGATTGATAAATTCTTTGTTTGATTGGAGTTATGATTGATTATAATAACAAATGACTTGCTGTACATATTAATTTTATTGAATAAATAAAATTTCATATTAAAAAAAATTAGTTATGTTCTTGATATATATTTCATAATTATATCTTATCATATTATTTTTTATGAAAAATATTTTATCTATATATAATCTATATATATAATGTTATCCTATGCATTAAATATGGTATGCATTTTATATATATAAAAAATATATTTTTATTTATTATTTATTATATAATTATATAATACAAATAACAAATCAAGACTAATTAATTTCTCAATAGTAATTGAAGATAATTTAGATGAATAGTATCCTCAAATATTAATTAGGCCCTAAAATTTGTCATTTAATTTAATTATAAAATAATAAATAATGTAAATAAATGTATTTAATAATATGAGTTCAATCTTTTAATCTTCTCATATTTTTTGTCTTCTACTTCTTTGCTTTATATTTTCCATTATTTTATCATTATTAGTTTTCATTATATACATAATATAATGTAATGCGTTAAAATGAAGAAAAATGAATAGATGCCTAAACTTTATGAAGAGTAAAAGCATAAGATTGTAATGCATAACATAATAATTATTTATGTGATTACAATTTTTTCTAGTCTTTTTGTTTTCTTCTTCTTCAACGTGTACAATTGAGAAGTTTCATTCTATTTGATAATGCATTGATTAGATATTAAATATTTTTATTTTTATTATAAAGGAGAAATATACATTTTATTAAAAAAAATAAAAGATTTCATTAAATACAAAATATAATTTTTTCATACCCTTCCATTTTCTTACTCACCTATATATAAAATCTCACTTTTCTCTACACCAATATATTATATTTTCCTCTTCATTTCTTCAATTTCTTTTTATTAATATGGTGAGCTCCAAATATTATTTTTCTTTTTGTTTCCTATTTCATATTGTATCTAAATAAAATATTATGTTTTTATCTTATATGTCCTTTTTTTTACCTTAATCCAAAATATGTATATTGTTGTATAAACTATTTTCCTTGTTAGTCTTATTATTTTTTTATGAATTTTTTTATAGAAGATATGGTGATTGTTTTTTTTTAAAGAATTTTGTAATTTTATTTACTTGAATTTTATGCATTCTTTTCTTTTGAGATTATTGATGGTTTGAATTTTTTTTCTTTTTTGGGATGAGTGGTAAGGACAAAATTTTATTCATGGGATTGGAATTCATCATAGCAATCATAGTATTGATTCATACACTGAACTAAACAATAAAGGTATGAATTCAATAAAAAAAACAAGTTATACGAAAATATTCCATTTTTTTTGTAAGATATTATGTTTTTTATTTTATTTATATTATATTATTATTAACTTTTTGATCCTTTTAAATATAAATTCTACTTCATATTCGTTCTAAATTGTGTATATATATCCAATATTACTATCATATATATTTGGAAATATGCATTTCATTGTACTAAAATCTCATTCAAATAAATTTTTTTTTTTGTAACTTTAATTCGAGCACTTATATTAATATATTAAAATAGTTTGTAATACAAGTTAAAGGAATATAATAGAAATGAACAAAAATGATAGGAAATTGGAAACAAGAGAAAGGACAAAAAAAAATAATCATAAATCAAAATTTGGCAAATTAAACAATTATAAAAAAAAAAGAGTTGATAAAAACTAATGTAAAAAAAAAAAAAAACCAAAGAGAGAATTGTTAGAGACTTTCTCTTATTTTATAATATTCATATCAATCTTATATATTAAGAATATATATGGTTCAATTTTTTATTAAAATAATAGTTAATATTTTTTAACCCCAATTTTAAAGGGTTATAAATTTGATTAAATAAGGATTAAAAATAACTAAGGAAGATGGAAAAAATAATAAAAGTATAAGATAAAAATTATTTGATTATTAGACTAGTAACTAATAAAATTTATATATAAAAAAAGAAAATCAAAAGGTAAATTTTTTTTAAATTAACCATCTTTATCTATATCTATATTTATCTATCTATATCTATATATTATATAAAATGTTACACTCAAATATTAATTAGGCACTAAATTCATCATTTTTAT